CTCCACAGAATTCAAGAACGATACTACTGGCCCCGCCTCTCCTCAGATGTTGCGCGGTACGTCAAGAGTTGCCGCGAATGTCAGCGCCGGAAGAGACCTCCAACAAAACCAGCTGGATTTCTCAAGCCAATTGAACCCCCGTCGAGACCATTCCAACAGATTGGTATGGACCTGCTTGGACCTTTCCCCACGTCAACATGCGGTAACAAGTGGATCATAGTGGCCACTGATTACCTTACCCGATACGCTGAAGCTAAGGCCCTCCCGAACGGCACAGCCGTAGAAGTTGCCAAATTTTTTGTCGAATCAATTCTCCTCCGTCATGGCGCACCTGAGGTACTAATAACAGACAGGGGAACAGCGTTTACGGCTGATCTTACTCAGGCAATCTTACATTACAGTCATACAGATCACCGAAGAACAACTGCGTACCATCCGCAGACAAATGGTCTCACGGAACGCTTGAACAAGACCATTGCCGATATGCTCGCTATGTACATGGACACAGAACACAAGACCTGGGACTTAATTCTGCCTTACGTGGTCTTCGCCTACAACACCGCGGTGCAGGAGACCACTAAAATGACACCATTTAATCTCGTCCATGGGAGGGATGCCGTTACTACCCTGGACGCCATGCTGCCTAATGTCACCGATGAAAACAACCTAGACGTGGCCGCCTACCTTCAGCGCGCAGAAGAAGCCCGGCAGCTTGCTCGTCTGCACATAAAAGACCAACAGCGAAACGACGCAAGACGCTACAACCTGCGGAGACGCGATTTAACATACAGGCCAGGTGACAAAGTCTGGGTTTGGACGCCCGTTCGCCGCCGAGGATTAAGCGAAAAACTCATGCGCCGTTATTTCGGCCCATACAAAGTCATCCGTCAAGTGGGTGAAGTGGACTATGAAGTGGTCTCTGATGGGGCTAGCTCATCCCAACGACGCCGCGCATGACAAGAAGTGGTACACGTCGCCCGTTTGAAGCCCTATCATGCGCGCTAAAGGAGGCTCCCTGTTTGCATCTCTTGTTTTGTTTATGTGTGCGTGATTCGTGCTTATTTGCCATTTACTTTCGCACAGGCTGTCCTTTTGTTTTGGTTTTATTTTAAACAAAGCATCGGGTCGATGCTTACGTTGAGGAGGGGAGCAATGCCGCGAGGCGTATTGTGGATAGTGTTGCGCATGCCGATAGCGCCGGCACGCGGCCTTATCGTGGTCCAGGATGCACCGCAACTCATCTGCGAAGATCATGGCCCGCACGTCGACCATTCGTTGATAACGAGATAGCGCCAGACGCTACGGCGGCTGTATCTCGGATGGTGAACGCGCCTTGCGTTCCAGTGGGACATTTCTGTTACCCGACAACCGTCGAACGCGCCTTGCGTTCCAGTGGGACATTTCTGTTACCCGACGGCCGTCGAACGCGCCTTGCGTTCGAGTGGGACCTTTCCGTTACCCAACGGCCGTCGAACGCACTGCTCGCCTCCCGCTAAGCCGGTGTGTCTGTTTTCCTTTAGTGGGCGCAAGTCCGCCAAATAAACGGATCTCCTTCTATTTCTACTAACCTCCCGGTCTCCTGTCTTCGGGCTACCCTCACTCTTACGTGACAATATACTAGTAATACCTCGTTAACTTGAACTAGCATATCTCGAAAAATCGGCAAAGTCAAAATTCTCCGGGGCACCGAACATTTTCCTATATGCCCCATGTATATTTCGCCCTTTATCTCGAAGTGTTTTTGGGTCAGATTGCGCATAACTCGAAAGCTTCACTGGGAGTGGAATGAAAATTTCGCCGCCGACCATTTCACAAGATTCCTGCAATGCCATGCCTGAAGTCCGTCAATTTTTTTTTTCTTTATTTTGCCACACCTGTTACTACATCGATGCTTTCTGCGAATGCAAAGTGCGTGAAGTCTCAGCCCAGCGACATATTAACTTTGTCAAGCAACCTTGTGGCACGTCATGTGACACATGTGCTGAGCAAGGAAGCCCCCTGCCCACACTTGGCGTAGTTTGTCTTGTTCGCTTTGTGCAGTGCCCATTATTTTCTCTGAGGTGTGATTTCCATTTATATGCACAAACCACGCGGTGTGAATATAAATTTTTCACTGAATGTGAGTGCAGTGCTCGTGATTTTCCGCGAGGTGTGATTTCCGTTCATCTGCACAAACTGAGCGGTACGAATTTTTCGCTGTGAGGAGCGGTAACTTAGCGAGAGTGTGGTGAGCATGGCGACAAACCAGTGCATGTCGCTAACGATAGAAAAAAGGCTTGCCCTAATTCAGGAATCGGAAAAAGGAGGCCAAACAAAATGAAGCATTGCGCCGGAATTCGGCATCTCCTTGTCTACGCTTTCGACTGTGCTGAAAAACAAGCAGAAGGTGCTGGATGTATTTCAGCAGAGATTTTCCAGCCAGCGGAAGCGCGTTCGACCGAAGAAGTTCCCAGACGTTGAAGCGGCGTTAATGGTATGGCTCCGAAATAAGGTCGAGTGCACCGGCAGAGGATATCGACTGGTGCAATTCATCAGCAGCTGCAGGACGCCTTCCTAGGCCTGAGTACGACCAGACGACCTTAAGGCATTCTTTCTCTGCGAAATAAAATGGCAGTGCCGCAAAAGCCAGCCGAATAAAGTCTCTTGTAAGTTATTTTTTTGTCTCTTTTACACCCGAGAAGATTAGAAACTGCCGCTGAAGAGCCAGTAAAATAAATAGTAGTAATATTTCTGAAAACCGCTTATTTTTTCCGACGACTAGGGCAACTTTGCTTCTCTCGAAAATCCGTTCATCTCCAAATTTTGTCGGGTTTTCGCGACTTCAAGTTACATGGTATTACTCTAGTGTTCTTATCATGACAGCCTCGTTTAGAGGCTGCATAACTTCTTACCCTGATCATCCCATAAGCTCTCGACTCTATTTAGAACGGAGCAGGGGAGGAAAATAAACTAGTGTTACTTATGTGCTGTCACCTTCTTCAACTTCAAAACATTTAGCTCCACGATGCTTGAGCCCTTGAACCTCTGACGAAAAAAAAAAGGAAAATCTTAATCCAGGAAATAACGACACAGGGTCACAATATTAGCAACATTGTTAGAAATAAAAAAAAGTGTAAGCTTTAATGTCAGCTGTGGCAGCTGTGCCTACTTTATTAACAGTGGAGGTGTACAAAGCAGCCATTAGCCTACTGCTGTGAGCAGAAAATTAGAAAATTATCATCACCAAAAACTGACATGTGCTCTTTTTGTCATCTCTTTTGCAGTCTTCATCATATTTTTCACTCCCATAACATGTGCCCCGATTTCTTTGGCATGGGATCCTATAACCCTGATGGGTGAGACAAGTATAAAGAAGAGAAGGAAAGAGAGAAGTTTTAGGGGGATCAAAATTGCTTCGTGAAGCGAGATTACACTTGATGCAAAGGCAAGCCCGATGTACACCCGATGTAAAGGCGAGCGTCTTACCACTCGAATATTGAGGTTTGCTAGCAGAGCATAGCAGAGCCTTGCATAACCCAGAATAGCACCGAGATGGATTGGGAAGGAAGGGTGCTGATGAGGGAAATGAGGATGGGAGCAAGTGAAGCATAGCATAGGGGAGGAAAAAGAGAGAGAATTAAAGAAAGAGAGAAAAAAATAGAAAGCAAGCAAGAAACACAGAGAGAGAGAGAAAGAAAGAGAAATAAACAGACAAAACTTTATATACAATAGAGAGGAGGGAAAAAGTAAGAAATATTGAAAGAATGAGAAAATTTGCAAAGCTTAGCAGACCAGCAACCTCCAGAACTACAAATCTGCTCATTAGCTACACTGCCTCTTTCACGGGGCATTTTCAATGCAAGCTACGCAATTTTTTTTTTTTTAATTCATATTGATGTCGTTGTGTATATAGGGTCAGTAAAGTTTGTGACTCCGACACTCACGACAAAAACTGCGAAAAACCACTACTCCCTTTTGTACGAGGAATGAATTCGTACTTATGAATGTTCATAGCTAGACAGTACGTGCAGCAACTCCCTCAGGACCTTAAGAACTGAAGTGAAAGCTTGTTAACGTTCTATACTAAAAGGTTCATCCTTGCTGTACGTAATGAGTCAAGGTAGGTATAAACAGAGGCCGTACACATATATAAACAAGGAATGGGAGATGCACCAGTGAGCAACTAATAGCATGCATTGAAGATAAGCATTTCATTATGAAATGTGTACAAGATCATGCCCTCAGTATGCACATTTTATGATGAAGCATTCAGAAATGGCCTGCCAGTCATGACACCCTCATGCCATTGCACGCACCTCAGTACCAGCCGAGAACTTATGGGATGTTCAACCAGCCTACAAGATATCCATAACACTAGCATTTACATTCAACAACTGAAAGCTGACCATTATAGTAATGATTCATGGTGTCGAGATCTTCTGGAAGGCAAACACAAACAGACACAGTGACAAAAGCAACATTGCAATTTGTGTTCACATTTGCACACCCAGTTTTGAGTACCAAAGTTTATAGGTGCCTATTATCATGTTCTTAGCACAATGTCAAGAGCATTACAAAGTTGCAATTCCATTATGAAACATCATGGAATGCTGTTCCACCTAAAAGGTTGGCATCAATCGCCTTTTGTGCAGTGCTGAAACAAGTCGTATTGAAAATCAATGTGCAGTACTCAAGGAGTAAAGCACGAAAATTTAGGACTGAGTCATTTTTATACTTCCGTCTCCAGTGCCTTCAATTTGTGTCATGTCGCAGCAATTTTGATTGGGGCACTTACATCAAAGCCAGAAATACCTTTAGTGACTAGATTGACCAAGGAAACATGGTGCAGCTATAACGCGCCATTTCTCACAGCAGTTGCTTTACAAAAAGCAAACGTCCCGTTTACGTACATGATTACTGCAGATCGCTACAGACTTCGAGTCCTTTGATTACACTATTCTATAAACTTTATATTTACACTTTATATTTATATATTACACTTTTCTAAAACAAATACTCACCTCTTCCTCTTCTTTCATATGAGGCAAGAACTTCTCAGTGAACTCAATGAGGGCGTGCTGAAGCTTGAGGCCGTAGTTGACACGTTCGGTCGCTGTCTTGTTGGTGCATGAGTAACCGTCACGAACTAAGGCCAGCATATCTGACAGACGGTTGTCGCTGTGACAGTTGCAGACGGCCGAATCGTGAATAGAAAGTGCCTGCAACAAACAAAAATATCCACAGGTCCAAAAATTAAAGTTGTAGCCAGCGTTTTTATTCATTGTCGTTATTATCGGCATATATCGCGTTTCCTCGCTTATAAGCCGCACTAAGAAAACGGAAAAATGTGCTTAAAAAGTGGGGGTGCTGTTATAGACGAGATTATACTTTTATTTTTTAATAAGTGTTAAAGTTAGAGGTTTAAATTAGATGAAGGGGTAGGTTATATGTGAGAAAATACAGTGCTATGTCTGTTGAAGAATGAAGGCATCTTCCAAATATCTGCAATTTACTCTATCCTATGTCAGCACATTGCATTTTATCCTAGAAAACATCTTAATTTCATCACATCTAACTTTTTGCCCTCCTCGACTGCATTTCCTATCCTTGCGTAACTATTCTGTAGCCCTAAGTGACAACCTGTTGTATGCACCACGCATTAAGTGGCCTGCCTACGTCTATTTCTATCACTTAATGTTACTAACATATCAGTTGCTCCCATTTTTCTCTAACCCATTCTGCTATCTACCAACCTGTTAATGTCACGCCTATCATTCTATTGTATGCTCCGTGGTCCTTTACTTTCTTTCTAGTTTGTTTCTATCCTCCAAGTTTCAGCCCCGTACATTAGAACTGGCAGTAGCCTTGCATACTTTTCGCTTACGGGACAGTAGCAAATCGCCTACCGTTATTTTCAGAGATCCTGCCGTATGTGCTCCCCCCCCCACTCTTATTCTTCATTACTTTCCTTTTCACAAGTACGCTGCTCTCCTAGCAATTTATTTAGGTAAACATAACCTTGTATTCTTGTACACTTCAAGTAGTGCAAGAAAATTTTATTTTCGACAATGTTTCAAAGTCAGACACAAAGGCATTCATTTTGGCCCAGTTCAGAGGGCAGGATGATTTTTTCAAGTCATCGAAAGACTCCAGGAAGGCAAAGTGTCACTGCAGTGACAAAAGCACACTAAGCTCTGCAGGCATATCACCAAGTTACCCATACTGATTTAAGCTTGTCAAATTGAACACATCCGAATTATTATGTCTTCCTAGCTATTAAGTTTTTAAACAACTGTGCTTGCATTGTGCAAAATTAAAATAAGTTAGACAATGAAAGTTCTCGCTTGACAGGGTTACTGAAACAAATTTCTCTTCCCTCCAGGGGAGCCTCGCTGGGAAAAGATTCCTGCATACACACGATGCATTATACCAATAAATCAAAGCAATTTTCAGTGCTTTTGTAAACCATTTATGTATACTGTCTAAAGCAGACGTGAAAGTAACTGCAAATTTCAGCACTGGCAAAGCAGGAAGAAGGTGTGGCCTATACACACCCATTTTAAATTACGGCGACTGCCGAATAAAAATTCTTAAAATTTATTCAGCAATTATTCCACTGTTATGTGCTATGAGGCTTTCAGTCTTGGAGGCAAAATAAAAAAAGAGTACAATATGAACATCTGTGCATGCACAAGCGGTTAAGTCTTTTGCCTTGGAGCATATAATTTATTCATGTTCAGAGAATTCTGCCAATTAAAAACAATGACTGGCTTCCCTTTTGTTTACTTGTGTCAGCAGTCACAGAGCTGGAATAAATCTGCAGCTCACAAAAGCAAAAGTTTATACAATGGTGACGATAAAAATAGTTAACAAGGTTGGCTGCTTTCAAAAGCCGGCAGGAATCTTCGAAAGAGCAAGAAATGCAGTTTTCAAGCACAAATAGTAGAACAATACTTTCTTGGAAAGAACAAAAATTATATCCCATATCCGATTGCATGCAGAGCAGTGAATCATGGTAATAGCACTCGCGATTACACAATAGCAAGTTTTATCTATACAACAATGTAGACAATGCAATTAGCTTTCTTGCAAAACATTTCAAGGTGTGGACCTGTCATCATGTTTGACATTTGCTGAATTTCTGGCTAGAGCAATATCAGCTTGCTAAAGAGGTTCATCAAGTGGAAGTGATAACAGCAAGACCAGGCCCGTAGTCGTGGGGGGGGAGCCCTAAATGTTCAGGTACCCCCTGAAATTTGAATGATAGTGTGTTTTACTGCAGACATTAGCAAAAAACGTGTTTTTCGAGACCTTCAACATATGCCCCCCACCCCCCAAAGAAATTCCTGGCTAAAGACCTGAGTAAGACTTCATGAGTTTTACGTAAGTGTACCATCGATTGTGCTGACAGCAAAAGAATTTTACTTTTTTGGAGCTCACCAAGGGGGAAAGATGGGCATGTTGGTATTCCATGTTTAAGAAGGGTAAGAGCGCACTGAATACGAATACACAAAGAAAGGACACACACACACACACACACACACACACACATAGCGCCAACATGTGTTACATAAATTTGGTACCTTGTGAATACTGTATGCTGTTTTTGTACTTTGCAAAAATATGCTTGGTTATAAGCTTAGCACAAATCCCTACAGCATATAATGCGTGTAGTCCCACGAATGAATTATCAGTAACCAAACCTGCGTCCTGGGTCATTTTTACGCCTGTTTCCTATATGGGCTTCATTAGCTGTGCTTATGCAATCTAATTAAAGTAACTGGATCACTTGTAAATTAGCAGTTGCATCACTTGTAAATTACGTCATTATAAACTATAACCAGTACTCACCTTTATAGTGATAATTTAACTCATAAACATTTTTCGTGTTGGTGGCCTTAAATTATAACCACTTATATTAGTTGTGAATAACGAGAGCACAGTAATGAACAATGTTTATCAAAAGAGACTGACTTAGCAATACTTCAACATGACACATCCGTATGTGAAATGCAGCTGCAGTTCAGCTGATGCAATCAGTGAAATCCTGTTGACCCGACTGCCTTGGCATGCAGTGCTGTGTCTTATCCAACAGCTGTTGCTGCTTTCCTGCAAGGTCTATGGTTGTATTTACATTACAAGTTTCATCAATAGCCAACCTCACACAATCTCATAGCCAAACCCCTCATGAACCACAAAATGCAAGTATTGACGCATCACTGATGGATGCTCAGTGGTGCTTGCTGACTGTGAGATGCAATATGCAGAAGCTAGACTGCAATTGGAGCATTCATGTGACTATGTTTGGCCAATGAGCTGATGGTGTCCTTTTATGCTCACAGTATGTACACCGTCTTTCACTCAGTAACACTTAGCTGTGAGTCTGTGCATGTGCTGTCTTAAAGGGACGCTATAAACTTCCCTCTGAGAACTCTAATGCTATAAGTTTCACTACCATAAGTTCATCATTAGCGGAGAAAATCCAGGTTGTAGTTTCATATTTAGGTTTCATGCAGAAATCTCCCCACATGACATGAAAATTTCAAAAGGTATTTTGGCAACATTGGCTCTATGAAATTTTTTGAAACTTCGTATGCTAGGTCTATGGCAGCCGCAGACACAGGTCGATGAACCCACTCATTAGTCGACACACTCAGACTTGGATCAAGTCGTGAGTGAGTGTGAGCGAGTCCGGATGAGTAATATTTTCCGGAGTTTCAGTCCAAGCGAGTTCGGCACAAGAAAATTATGGTCACCCTGAATCCGAACGAGTCCCAAGCACAAGATATATTTCTTTTTCCTACCTATGCCCACAGGTGACAATGTACTTAATATTTATCGACAAGAAGCAACGTAGGACACAGTCATTGCTCTTTAAATCTATTACGTCACAATGTTTAGTGCGTGAATCTCAAAAGTAGTATCTTCACCCGTATTTTCTTTTTGCAAGTTTTCTCACTTGCCAAGCGTAGTCCCGCGGTAAGAGTGGTGTTTTCAGGATTGTGAAATTTTACATTACTGACAGGCGAAAAATCATTTTTTGTCTTTAGTGTACTTGCAAGTGCAACAAAACCGACGTAAAAAGTACATCAACCAACTAGCCAAACTAGGTGCCCTTCAGCACAACTTCGCAGTAAGAAAATTTTTTTTTATAGATTGACGTGGCTACCAGCAAGACCATCACAGGAGACCGCACCTTCAGCTTTTTCTTCAACTTGGTCATGATGAGTTGGTTCTCGATCTGCTCGTGGCACCGGAACTCGCGGAAAGTCTGGTACAACTCGTGCAACAGCGACTCCAGGGCGCCATAGTCGGTAAAATCCGTGCATCCCAGCTGTGGAAGAGGACATCGTTAAAGAACACACGCAAAGCCCCACCTGTGCAACAAAAACAAAAGAGCTCGCGTCTGGTGAACAGCAGTACGTGCCTCGGCGCACGTTCACAGGAAAAGGAGAATGAGGGGAAGCAAGAAAAACCCAAAAATAAAATAAAATGAAGGCTCGCACGCATGTTCGAACTGCGCTTGCCTATATTGCTGCCAAGTCGACGCGCCTACGCCGGTTGCTTTTGCCAGGAACTGCGGGGTAATTTAGGCGATTGCTCAACATCGCGCTTCTTGCCAACCATGACCCGAACATCGCAGGAATCCCAGGCAATATAAGAACGAATTATGCCGGCTACGTGTGCTAAACGTTACGCGATAACGGTACCGCTATCAAAACGTACCGCACGGTGCCTTCACCGTCGGAATGTGCAAGCTTGGGAGCATGAACGCTTGAATGCGCAGGTTTATGACCGCAATTCAAGCCTGTACACGAAGTGACAGTTGTGAACAGGCAACACATTTCGGATATGTTGTAGTCGAATACGGATGAGGATTGTTTGGGTGCCGGCGCAATTGTTCCGTGCAGGGCAAGTAGTTCAGTACGACGGCTGTTCGTCAAGCTGAGTGTTATTGTTATTGGAATGTCAGAACGAGTATGTTACGTAGAATGCAGTAATGAAGTTCGACCACACGTGTTTCAATGCTAGCATCCGCTACAAAGCAAAGCGTATGCTTGGGAGACGATGTGCTGGGCATACTACGAAGAGCGAAGCAGTCAGGTATTACACGTCCGCGACACTGCATGCTGTACACACTGCACAATACAGACTAAGTTTTCAAGGAATCAGCTCCAAGTGTAACAGCTCTGAAGCGTAATTTGTGTTTGGCGCACGGACGAGGCGACCACCGTGCGCGCATCAGCGAGTGGCGGATCGCGAAGCTCGCGAGCGTAACAAGCGAGAAGGGGCAGCAAGTTGAGTGTAGGTGTATACACCCTACCTTTTCATTGTACACTTCGACGAGCCGCTTCATCCTTGAATGCGGCACCGAAAACACATCCACTTCTTCGGGGAAAGGCGCCATCTTGACCGTCGGCAGGAGATGCGGCGACGTTTTCGATGCGCGCCCAACTCGACAACCTTGACGCCGATTCGCTTCGCGACAGGCTAGCCGACGGCCACCGGAGGTGCAGATGAATGTAGCGGTGCGGTTACAGCCTTCGAAGAGATCGGATTTCTAGAGCTGTGCTCGAGAAAATACAGTGCAGCTGACGAAACGAGCGCAAAGGCGCGTAGAGAGACGGCAGCTGCTGGCTGTTTTCATTGAAGCAGCCGCGATGCACACACGCAGTTTCGATTTGCCTGCGAATCGTCGAGAGATGGCAGCACCAACACAAAGCAGGTCGCCATGGCAACAGACAGTTTCTGTTTCGACAACACGCGCAGCGCGCTCGCGCATGGCCATCCACTGTTTTGACTGAGCTGTTGCCAAAACAGGTTAAGCGCAGCACAAAACCTTTGTGTGGATATTGATGAGCCTTCGTGCTTTCGTTGGCTGGTCACCGCTGTATGATAGGCTATTTGGGTCCAAGGACGATTAACTAGTTCGATGTTGAGAATCTTAGAAGCCGCGACCAATTCATCCGGCGCGTGAGCTCGTTCGAAAGCGACATCAGGGCGGAAAAACAGTCATGCAGGTAAGTAATCTGTGTGCAAATATTACAAATAGCAGTGGATACATTCGCAAGTGTGAGGCTACATTCCTTCCTGGCTTGAAATATATGGTGAGTGCGCAGGCAAATTGTGGGCATCGTCAGTTACGCTTTAGCACGCAGCTGCATTATGTAATGTATGGTAAAATGATTGCTAATATTTAAAAACTATAACAAGTGACTAACGAAGCTTCTATGTTATTTCTCTGATTATCAATGGGTATTATAAAACAATATGAGATCCAGACTTTGTTAACCGCATCACCAGGATTTATATACTCAAACCTCCCACACTGCAATGTAGTTTAGGGGCATTAAGCAGCCATGAGTGATTATTACATGATGTCTATAAGATAGCATACTGCTCACCTGAAAGTAATCCTCGTGTTTAACGTGCTCTCTTATATCATGTGTTCCGATATCGTTAATAATAATTTAAATAAAACTAATGAATTATTGTCTGATAAAGGAAGCATACTGCTAACTTTTTCATAACTTCCTTTGACTTCAGGGCTAAACCCCCTTATGGCGCCACCCCTCTGAAAAAGGCCTACGCCCTTAATAACGCGAAATGGCAAAGCAAATCTACTGTGTTTACTAAGGTCATTACAAAAGTTCTGTTGCAGGAGGTATGAATGCACTTCGAAATGTAATTGCTGGCACGATACTGAGTGTCCCTAAACAGTCTGACCAGGACAATATCTTAAAGTACACATGTAGTAACTAGCGGTCTAATAGATGCACGTAGTAAAAAAAGTTAATATTTCTATTACACAAAAGCCTATCTCATGGAGATGTATACAAAAAGAACTATAATTTGTTGACTTGGCACCTACATATTAACGCAAACTTGTTTGTTTATTTGTTTGTTCTTTAATTCGCTCTGTGCGCTCATAACGAACAAAATTTTCAAATAAAATAAAAATAAGACGAACTTTTCCGATGCCATCATACGAAGCCATGTTTTGACCCTTCGCTCGTTCAAGTTAGTTTCAACTCTTAGTCACCCTGCTCCCTAAGCCGGCCTGCATTCATCTAAATTAAACTTTTCAGTATTAAGAAAAAAAGCAAAGACTGGCAGCATTGATTTGTTCCTCCTGAGCGCTCCCATAGTCCCAAAAAAACAAGCCACTATGAGCATCGAACGCTTTTCTCGGAAATTCTTTCCACGCAGCACATATGTAAGAGTTCGCATTCGATACGGGAACGCCGACTCGCTCGCCCGTCAAAGGTGGTCACGTCTCATTAAAGAGCATCGGGCCACAGTCTACGTCGTTGTCATGGAGACGCTTATTGCCTTCAGTGAGTGCAACCGGTATGGATTTCACGAGGCTTAAGAGGGAAGTGGGTTTTACAAGCTTCGTCGCGGGCGCTTTTCCATACAGCATTTAGAGGGAATTTGCATAAGCGAGAACATTCGTGTTTTTCTAGTTTGTTCTGAAGAGTTCTTTTTTTTTTTCTTCAAGTGCGCTAGACTTTATTGGAAATCTTTGATAAACACAGATATTCGAAAAGCATGCGGGCTTCGAATATCTCATTGAATGCGCCACATTCACTTCCTTCGCAAAATAACAAAACACGCTAAATAGCGGCATAAGAAGGAGTAAAAAAAGTGATAAAGCGAGATACATCTCATTTTCTTCTAGCCTAATGTTTTATCACGACGAGGATTGCGCAATTCAAACATGGTTTCTCTACTGATATTTTCATACAACTTTATGACTTTTCAACTTATGATATTCCCATACAACTTTATGTGGTTTGGAGAAGAAGAAGGTGCCTAATTTCTGCAGACCGGTAGGGATCACGGTACAGCGCCTGGAAACAATTGAGACCAGGACAGTCCAATGAAATTGTCGCTTTCCCCTCCGCCCCCAAAATGGGAAGGGGAAACACCGCCTCTTTCCCAACCCACGAAAGAGGAAAGAGGCGCGCCCAGTTCGCTTTTTACTTATATACCTTTCAAAGCAGCACAATAAATCTGAGTCTTATTCTCATACGCACATTATACGGATTGGCCTAATATTGGTGACTTTTGAACATCATTCCTCTCCGTTGTTTTTTACAGCATAAATACCTTACGCGTTTGTTAGTGTTGCGTACTGATGCAGTCGGGGGTCTGCGCATGCGCATGACCGGAGCCAGCCAAGTCTCAGGAAGAAGTCCAGCAGAGTAGCCGGGGCTGATAACAGGAACGTTTATATACAAAATATGCACTTAGAAGGCAGCATCATGGAAGCTCTAGATGGATATGTTCCGGGAGCTTTTTCGGGGCGTCTCGGCGCTTGCGTTTTAAGTCATGTCTTCCGAAGATACCCTGCAGAGGAAAACAATTGGTGATGGTGGTGGTTAGGAGAAGAAGAAGGTGCCTAATTTCTGCAGCCCGGTAAAGATCACGGCACAGCGCCTGGAAACAATTGAGACCAGGACAGTCCACTGAAACTGTCGCTTTCTTCACCGCCCCCCAAATGAGAAGGCGAAACACCGCCTCCTTCCCAACCCACGAAAAATGGAAGAGGCGCGCCCAGTTCGTCCCACGGTGAGGGAGAAACACTACACGATCCACAGTGTCAGGCGCCGCGCCGTGCTTCCTAGCGGGCTGCAGAAATCAAGCGCCTTGTTCCTCTTTTAACCACTCCCATTACCAGCACAGCGCGAATAAGTTGAGTCCTGCGTGTAGATCTACTGTGCGGTCAGTGCAGTGGTGACTCATCGATAGGCCCTGCGGCGCCGCGCAGGTCACGGCTTGTGGAAAATGGCCGCCATGAAGTCACCACGGAGAATCCAGACGCAAGGCCAACCGTTCTGCACGTCTCGTAGCCCGTCGAACCAGACAAGCAGCCTCGACTGCCAACAGCGCTTTCTAAGCCGTCGCTCTGTCGGGCGTGTCCAAAGGGTTTTACGAAGGGGAGACGACGGCGCTGCAGATTCGAAGTACTGCTGTCGTGTTTCCGCCGCTTTTGGCGCACCTCGGGAGCGTTGACCGGCAAGAAATCAGGTTAGGCTCAGCCGCAGTGTCTCACGGGTCCAAGCGGCGCCAATTCGGGCAGGCCGATCATAACAGTGCGAACTGCCATGCGCTCCTTGCACAAACCAAGCAGTGAAATGGAATTCTCAACAAAATTTAAAAAAGTTTGTTTAGACGGACTTTCGACAGACTTTCTCTGGCATGCGCTAATATTTGAAGCTGTATCGCCCCGATAGCGCGATTGAATGCGTATGACGTATACGGTTCCTGTGACAGAGAGACCCACGACGACACGTACCTTCTAAGCTTTGGACAGTGTAGACCCTCACCTAACACAAAAAAAGACACATTTCAAAGTCCCCTGTAAGAATAACTGCATGCAGTAACGAAAGTGCGAATGCACTTTTTTTTCGATATCTTTCAGGACATCAGCAAAGTTTCTATCTATCTATCTATCTATCTATCTATCTATCTATCTATCTATCTATCTATCTATCTATCTATCTATCTATCTATCTAATCTATCTATCTATCTATCTATCTATCTGTCGATAGATAGATAGATAGATAGATAGATAGATAGGAAGACAGACAGATAGATAGATAGATAGATAGATAGATAGATAGATAGATAGATAGATAGATAGATAGATAGATAGATAGATAGATAGATAGATAGATAGGAAGACAGACAGATAGATAGATAGATAGATAGATAGATAGATAGATAGATAGATAGATAGATAGATAGATAGATAGATAGATAGATAGATAGATAGATAGATAGATAGATAGATAGATAGATAGGAAGACAGACAGATAGATAGATAGATAGATAGATAGATAGATAGATAGATAGATAGATAGATAGATAGATAGATAGATAGATAGATAGATAGATAGATAGATAGATAGATAGATAGATAGATGTCGATACCTGCCTTTAAGGCAGAGAATACAGTCAAACACCCATACATCAGACACACGTCATGCATATCAAACCATTGTAAGACGCCCTGAATATATTTATGGCATCTAAAATATTTCATATTTTAGATATCGATAAAGGTAACTCATTAAATGGAGAATTCTCGAGATAAAACATACTATGTATGCCGAATTACCTACAAACAGGGCTGGGCGTTGCGATGGGGATGGAACTCAAAAGTTCTTTAGCGTTGTATGACAAGTGTTCGACAAAGCTTCGTCTGTTGAGGCATCCTAATGGGAATCGCCTTCATACTAAGGATCCCCTCCAAGTTTTCACTTTGACTTGGTCAGTGCCACCAGCATTTTCTTTTTTATGTTGCACGTTGCATACACGTCATATAATAATGCATAACGCAGACACACAAACTCATGCAAGATTACACAGTGTAGTTGACACCGCCCCCCCCCCCCCCTTTCGAAAAGAAAAAGTTTTGTCTACACCCCTGAAGTGCATGCTGCAAATAAATACTTCCGTATTACCATCCCCCACCAAGAAGCACGTTACAGGAGCAACTGCATTGGCTGACCTTATCAGCAGGCTGCGGCAAGCGTTAACCAGGCCCTTATCACATCGTGTGCTGTACACAATGTTACGACCTCTTCCCGAGAGAGACGCCACGCGCGCGCGCGCTATCTCAAAGCACGCATGCGGAAGCTGTCG